GACATGAGTTCATTGACCCAGATAGGCTTGCTTAACAAAGAGCTTTAAGTAGGCTTGGAGAGATGATTCCAAAGGACCCAGGTTCAATTCTCAGCACTGACACGGTGGCTCATATCCACCTGTAACTCAAGTTCCGGGGGACCCAATTCCCCTTCTGGTCTCCATGGGCAACAAACACATATGTGGTGCACAGATTATATGTGTAGGCAAAACATCCATACACATAAAAAATAATAAAATGTTCAGTGTTTTAAAAGCTCCAACTGGGCATAGAGGTGCATGCCTTTGATTCCAGCACTTGAGAGGCAGAGGCAGGCACAAGCTCTGTGAGTTCCTCAGGTGAATCCCTGTGAGCCAGTCTGGTCTACATAGTGAGTTCCAGGAAGCCAGAGCTACATGAGAAACCTTGTCTCAAAAAGACATAAGCAAACAAATAAGAGCTCCAGGATCTCACTTCTCTCTGCCCCTACCTCCCCACCACTGGGGTTGTAGTTTCCATCATACTTTGCACTTACCTGGATGCTAGGATAGGATGCACACTCAGACCTAATGCCTTTTTTGACAACAAGGACTGTATCAACTGCCAGCATCTCCACAATATTAGGATGGCACCAGAAGTGACCCTCTGCCTTTTAAAAAACAGTTGACCCCAACCTAACAAAGTAATGAAGGTCCATAGATGAATTGGGGCCCGGAGAGATGAGTGGCCATGCACAAAAGAGGGTTTTCTGTTAACAACCTAGAACTCCAATTCTGAGAACCGGCTGCCTCCTGTCCTCCACAGGCATCCACACACAAGTGGCACACACTTAAACAGACACACATACATGCACATAAATTCCTAAAAGAGTTTTCCTTAATGGGCTGAGGCCAAATAGATATCCAAGAATCACTGTTTTTGTTGGTTTTTGAGACAGGGTCTCCCTACAGAGCTGGCTATACTGGAACTCACTATGTACCAGGCTGGCCTCAAACACAGGAAGATCCTCCTGCCTTTGCTCCCCCAGTGCTGGGAATAAAGGTGGGCACTACCACACCTGGCTTAAGGCTCAAACTGGTAAGCAGCATTTTTTAAAGTTTCATTGTATATATCCTTTGAACTGTGTTACAAAAGGACATTTTCACACAAAATATATTTGTAGTTTGAGCCGTTGTCCATGATCGACCTCTCCTTTTTCCCTACCTTTCTCCATTCCAAGTCCCCTTTGCTCCCCTACACGGTTTGATGAAGCAACATTTGTTTTGGGGTGAAAATATTCCATACCTTTTGTTGTTATTGTTGTTTTGGTTTGGTTTTTTGAGACAGAGTCTCTTTGTAGCTTTGGCTGTCCCAGAACTCATTCTGTAGATCAGCCTGGCCTTGAACTCACAGAGTTCTGCCTGCCTCTGTTGTTTGTTTTACTGTTTTATTACTTTTTATGAAAAACTTCAAGATTCAAACATACAAAAGGGCTTGCTAGCTTTCATCAACAACTTTAAAAAAAAAAATGCTGTGTAGCCAATGACACCCCCCTCCCCATGAACTTCTGTTTCTCCCTTGTCCATCTCCCAGGTGCTGAGATTATGTGCCTGGCTTCCATCATTCTCACACCAGCTGTTGCTGCTGCTGCTTTCCCTTCCTCTCAGTGTAATGACACTAATGTCACCTCTAAGATCAGTTACACCTTCCTGTAGCTACTGGGGTGTCTGTTGACACCAGGAGGAGTATGTCTGCTGCAGTTCAGTCTGCAGGGTTTACAGTCTTTTTGTTTGGGTTTTGTTGAGACAGAGTCTCACTGTGATCCCTTTACAGAAATGCCTCCCCACTGCAGCATTTACTTCATTATTTTTTATCAATAAAAACTTGGGAGTCAGATGTTGGGGTAATAATTTGATTGATCCAAGAAGCAACCAGTGACCTCCTCTGCTTCCTCAATCCAAAAGGGTCTGCGAATCTTTCTGAGTCCCTCTCTCCTACTTCCTGTGTCTCTATATGTTCTGGGTCCTCCAAAACCTCTATGGATAATTCTGGTCAGCTAGTAGCTAGCCTCACCCTCTTATTCAAGGTAAACTTTATTGTCAGTCTCGGGAGTGTCAGAGTACAGTCAAAATATCCCATAACACCCGCCCCTCCCCCATGCTGGGATTAAAGGCTTGTGCCACTACATCCAGCCACACTCACAACCCAGGGCCAGGGTTTTTTGGCTGCATCAGTATTTGACTCAAACCTTAGTGAAGTAGAAATGTAGATTGGTTGTTATATTGATCCTGCCTTTGGTGTTTAAGAAAGTACTCTTGAATCTGGCAGTGGTAGTGCACGCCTTTAATCCTAGCACTCAGGAGGCAGGCAGATCTCTGTGAGTTTGAGGTCAGCCTGGTCAACGGAGCAAGTTCTAGGGCAGGCTCCAAAGCTATAGAGAAACCCTGTCTCAAGAAACAAACAGACAAACAAACCAAAAATATTTAGCATAGCAGTGATGGTGCATGCCTTTAATCCCAGCACTCAGGAGACAGAAGCAGGTGGATCTCTGAGTTCTAGGCCAGCCTCATCTACAGAATGAGTTCCAGGACAGCCAGAGTTGCACAGGGAAGCCCTTTCTCCAAAAACAAAACAAAACACCCAAAATCTTTAATTAAATGTGCATGTCAGCAATCAAATTATGACACAAGGCTCTTTGATGATCAAGAAAGAGCTCTCTCCCCTCCCACATAATTACTTTTGGAATAACAACACCCACAGACACCCCCACCCCCGCCCATAGGAGCATATATTTTCAGCACACAGAAAGTGGGGTCTTTATGAGTGTTAGCAGAACATTTGGTGACTGCGCTACCCCTGTGCTGTCTTAGTACAGGTGCCTTGAGTGAATGCCTGAAAGAGAACAGAGGGGTTGTATTGTATGACCTCTTAGCTTCATTAGAGTGAATGTAATATTTTGCGGGGGGGCTTATCCAGAGCTAAAATGTCTACATCTGAATTCCTAATTAGCTGTTGGCTAGCTTTGAGACTTTGGAGAACTTATCAAAAATGATTTGCTTCTCATATGGTTATTTGGGCATTAAATCAGTAAATGCAAGTAAGTTGTGCAGTGTAAGTGCTTGGCGTGTGGAATACTCAATGAGTTAGTACACTTCAAATCACAGGATCTTTGAAGATTATCAGATATTCAAGGCTGATTTGTTATTTTTTGTGTGTTTGTCTTAAAGGGGACAATTCATCTCTTTCGAAAGCCACAGCGGTCCTTTTTTGGAAAGTTACTCCAGGAATTTAGACTTGTAGCAGCTGACCGCAGGGTAAGTCCTTCTTTGATCATGGTTTGAGTTATTGCAAAGCCGTATGTGGAGGTCAGAGGGCAACCTGGGAATCACTTGTCTCTTTCTACCATGTGAATCCCAGAGATCAAACTCTGGTCCTCGGGCAGGGCAACAATACCGTTACCCTTTGAGCCATGTTGCTGGCCCTGTAATTGATAGGTTCTAATCCAGCGGTGTCTGTTAATCTGTGTTACCATCCTCATTTCTCATCTTTCTTGACCTTTTCACCATAGTTGACAAGAATTGGTCACTTCTGCTTAAAAGCATCATATAAATTGTGAAACAGTCTTTGGCTTTCTTCCTACTGACTTATTCATTATCGTTCAGTTATTTTCACCATTTTTCTTACTAGTGCACTTTGGAGTATGAGTTCCAACCTGTAAGATTTTGCACATCTAGAAAGGTTGTCGGCTGAATGGTTGTCGTTACTCCCTGTGTACGGATGACTCCATGTTTAAATCTCAAGCCCTAAATCTCCCACTCCCACTTCCTTTATGGAATTTGGCCTCTTCAGTGTCTCAACTGGAAACTGGACCTTAATCCTCACTCACTCGCATATTAACTGGATAGTCTTCCAGATTAGCAGAAAAGTTGAAATCATTTTCCTTCTTGTTTGTCCCTCATTCCTCACATGGGTGTTTTCAGCAAACGTACCAGCTCTCTCTTTAATGTAGTGTGCAGCATCTGACCCTTAGCACACCCTCTTACCACTCTTAAGCCATGGAGTAGCCAGAATGATCTTTTGCTTTCTTTAGGCAGGGAGAGGTTGAAAGTCTCACCATGTAGCTTAGGCTAGCCTCAGACTTGCTGTGTAGCCCATGCTGGCCTTCAGCTGCCATCCTCTTACCTGTGAACCCTGAGTGCTGTGATCGCAAATGTACCCCCACATGCCCAGGAGAATGCTCTTTAGGGAATTTGAGACAGACTCAGCCACTGTTTCCTGGCATTCAAAATGTCACGTGCTGTTGCCTTAGACCCCCCTCTCTTGTGGTCTCTCAGATTCTGTTTTCTGTGACTTTACTGCAAAGCCTTTCTGATGAGCTCATCTGGAAAAGAACACTCTTCAGGCCTTTCTCCCATTTCTGTTTCCTTAGCCCTTTTTTTTTTTTTCCTTTTCAAACAGAAAAAGTGTAGCCTTGGCCATCCTGGAACTCCACTCTGTAGAGCAATCTGGGCTTGAACTCACCGATCTGACTGCCTACTTTTTATTTTTTCCTTGAACTTATTACCATTATCCTAAATACTTGTTTATTGTCACTCTGCCTACATTGTAGGGCCATGTTTTGTTCTCTTCGGTACTCATTCTTAAAATAATGCCTGGCACAGATACATGTTGAGTAAATAACTTGATTCAGAGTTACCGTTAAATTTACATTCTTGGGTTGTTTCTGACAGGGTTTTGCTCTGTTGCCTTGGCTACTCTAAATGATCCTCCTGTTTCACTGTGGTGACTTGGTCGATGATGATTCTAGTTGATGTAGAAAATGGGACACACTTTTTAGAAGTTGTGTTTATTTCATGCTTTCTATCAGTGTGAATGAGGCAGCTTGAACAGAACAGAGTTCTGCTGAACTCCGTCAACACTGTATGAATGGAGTGCTTTTCCTTCCCACAGTCCTGGAAGATCCTTCTCTTTGGTGCAGTCAACGTGCTGTGCACTGGCTTCCTGCTCATGTGGTGCAGCTCTACAAACAGCATAGGTATGTCACCCTTTGGGATTTTATCAGCTCAGTTTCACTTTTGCTCCTGACTTTAAATAAAGATGCATGTGCTGGCTAGTCTTATGTCAACTCCACACAAGCTCTGGTCATCTGAAAGGAGGGAACCTCAAGTAAGAAAATGCCTCCGTAAGATTGGTCTGTAGGAGGCCCATCACTTGGACTGACAAGTCGGCTTTCCTGAGCACCATGTCGGGTTCTTCTAGTGTCACCGCCATGAAGAAGGTGGTTCAGCAGCTCCGGCTGGAGGCCGGGTTCAACCGAGAGAATGTTTCCCAGGCAGCTGTAGACTTGAAACAGTTCTGTCTGCAGAATGCCCAACATGACCCTCTGCTGACTGGAGTGTCTTCAAGTAGAAATCCCTTCAGACCCCAGAAAGTCTGCTCCTTTTTGAGTCAAGTATCTTAAGGTTTCTCAAACCACTTTTCATGAACCAGTAACTGTTTAAGAGAACTACATCTTGAAGTCTGTACAAAAGCCTGTAACACATGCCATAACATACAATCTTCTGCTTGTCAGTTCTTAACATCTGCCTCTCTGAATCTTCATGGATTTCTGTCTCACAAGGTTGAATTATTTTATATACGATGGCTGTAGCATACAATAAAACAGCATACAAAAAAAAAAAATTGGTCTGTAGGCAGGCCAGTAATAAAGTGTTTCAGAATTAGTGATCAATGGAGGAGGGCATTGTGGATGCTGCCACTCTGGGTTGGTAGTTCTGGGTTCTACAAGAAAGCAGGCCTAATGGAGTCATTTGGCTCATGCCTTTAATCCTAGCACTCTGGAAGCAGGGGCAGGTGGATCTCTTGAGAGTTTGAGGCCAGCCTGGTCTACATAGAGAGTTGCAGGACAGCCAGGGCTACACAGAGAGACCTTGCCTCCAAGGGAAAAAAAGTCGTTTTAGGGCTGGAGAGATGGCTCAGTGCTTAAAAGCACTGCTTGTTCTTCAAAGGATCTGGGTTCAATTCCCAGCACCCACATGGTAACTAGCAACTGTTTGTTTGTAGTTCCATAGCCCAAGATTCCAATGTCCTTTTCTGTGGGACTGCAGGCATATGTGGTGTATAGACATGCATGAAAGGGAAGCAGCCGTACAAATAAAAATAAGTAAATCTTAAAAAATAAGGAAAGAAAGCAGGTCAAGCAAACCAGTAAGCAGCACTCCTCCATGGCCTCTGCATCATATTTGCTACCCTTTTTGAGTTCCTGCTTTGGCTTTCCTCATTGGACTGTGATTTAGGATATGTAAGCCAGATAAACCCTTTCCTTCCCAAATGCATTTGGTCATGATATTTTATCATAGCAACAATAACCCTATGACAGCATATTTCCCTTTATATAGTATGTGTTCTTCTGGAATGTGCCTTGTATTTGTTTGTTTATTGAGTGCTTTGATGTTTTGCCTTCAAGTATGTTTGAATGAGGGGGTCAGAGCCCATGGAACTGGACTTACAGTGGATGCTGGCAATTGAACCTGGGTCCTTTGTAACAGCAGCCAATGCTCTTAACCACTTAACCATCTCTCCCACCTCCAACTGCTTTCTTTTAAAAAACAAATATTAAGTTTGATTTATTTATTTGTGGGTGGAAGGCATGTATGGACCTCAGAGGATAATGGAAGAGACTTATACCCGCTGAGCCATCTTGTAGGCCCAGTATTGATTTTTTTTTTTTTTTAACGAGGATATATTTAAATATCCCTGTAAACAGTAAAGCTTAGTTATTTGATGCTGGGTCCTTCGGCAGTCAGGGCTGTAGGAAGGGTCTGTCCAGCCAGTCACTTCCTGGGGTCTGAGCAGGATGGGGAGTGTTGATGACTCAGACTCCCTCCTTGTCACTGGAGAGAACCAGTAGTTAAGAATGCTTGCCAGTCTTGCAGAGGACCTGAGTCCAGTTCTTAGCACCCCTATCAACCATCTGTAACTCTGCTTCCAGGGATCAACCCTCTGGCCTTCTCAGGCTCCTGCATGTACATATTGTTTATAAGCTCACAGGGGCCACACATCCACATGTAAAGATAATAATAATAAAAGTGCATTAAGCAGCATTTTAATGAGCGTTTCTGTTGTTTCTGCAGCTTTAACTGCTTATACTTACCTCACTATCTTTGACCTTTTTAGGTAAGTTTTTTAAAAAATATCATTTAAATTTTAGTTTTGGAGGTTTTGTTTGTTTCTTTGTTTCTTTGTTTTTGGAGACAGGGTTTCTTGGTGTAGTCCTGATTGTCCTGGAACTCTCTCTGTATACCAGGCTGGCCTGGAACTCACAGATGTCTGCCTGCCTCTGCCTCATTTAAATTTTAAAGACAACAGACAAGGATTTTGTCTTGTTTATTTTTGTTTCAAGACAGAGTTTCTCTGTGTAACAATCCTGGCTGTCCTGGAACTCACTTTGTAGACTAGGCTGGCCTTGAACTCATTGAGATCAGCCTGCCTCTGCCTCCAAAGTGCTGAGATCAAAGGTGTGCACCACCACCTAGCTTCAAACAAGGATTTATTACACTGATTTACTAAGCTTTCTTTGCTTAAAAGAAAGTAACTAGCTAAATAAGTAAATATATCATAGAAGTAGACAGCACCTACTGTCATAATAAGAAAATATTGCACCTGTAGAAGAACGGAAAGGTTAATACCTAGGCATAAATTTAGGATGTACACATGCTGAAGAAAAGTGGAGAATTCCAGAAATAAACAATTTCTCCTTAAGTTTTTTTGTTTTTTTGTTTGTTTGTTTGTTTGTTTGTTTGTTTTTGAGACAGAGTTTCTCCGTGGCTTTGGAGGCTGTCCTAGACCTAGCTCTTGTAGACCACGCTGGTCTGGAACTCACAGAGATCCACCTGCCTCTGCCTCCCAAGTGCTGGAACTAAAGGTGTGCACTACCACCACCCGCCTTTGTAGTATTTTTTCTTAACTGGTGGTTGATGTGGGGGTGGGGATATGTGGGGGTGACTGTGTGGGCAGTTAGTTCTGGGACGATTAAGAAATCCAGTTGAGGGCTGGAGAGATGGCTCAGAGGTTAAGAGCACTGACTGCTCTTCCAGAGGTCCTGAGTTCAATTCCCAGCAACCATATGGTGGCTCACCACAATCTGTTATCCGATCTGGTGCCCTCTTCTGGTGTGCAGATATACATGGAAGCAGAATGTTGTATGCATAATAAATAAATAAAATCTTAAAAAAAAAAGAAAGAAAGAAATCCAGTTGAGCGAGTCATGGAGAGCAAGCCAGTAGGCAGCACCCTCCATCGCCCCTGCATCAGCTCCTTCCTCCAGGTTCCTGCCCAGAATGAGTTCTGCTGGGATGTCCCTCCTCAGTGATGGTCTGTAACCTGAGAGCTGTAAGCTGAGGTTAACTCTTTCCTCCCCAGAATGTTTATGGTCATGGTGTTGGATCTCAGTAGTAGAAACCCTACCCAAGCTCAGTACCATACCCTTTACCTCACCTCTTGTCATGGACACTGTAGCAGCATATGCCATAAGGAAAAGGAGGTGGAGAAGAGTACATTTTGAGTGGAGGGGGAGATGGCCCAGAGTTAGTAGAGAGTCTGCCACAGATGAATGTGGATGGAAGTTCTGTTTAGCTGACTTACAGTGAATTACAATTTGACTTTGTTTCTTCACATCAAACCTGTTGTCATCCAGAGATGCCATGTGTTACGAGGATCATTGAGGTTAATTTAGAACTATCATAATTTATTTTTAATCTAGTATATATGAACAATTCTCAACAACCAAGGATTTCTGAAAATTTAATTTGTTGGGAACTAGAGAGATAGTTCTGTGCTTGCTGCTCTTGCAGTGGACCCAAGTAAGCTTCTAGGACTCAGGTCCTCAGCTCAGAAGATCTAGCACCATCTACACACACAGAGTAAAATAAACCCTTATTAAAAAAAAAAAAAAAAAAAAAAAAAACACTTCATAGGCCAGCCTGGTCTACATATGAGTTCCAGGATAGCTAGAGTTATACAGAGAAACCCTGTCTCAAAAAAACAAAAACAAAGCCCACTTAATTTGTCTCTGCATGTCTTCCTATTTCTACTTTCTAATGTTCCAATGCAAACTTTGTTTTCTTTAGTTTAATAACATGTTTAATAAGCTACTGGGTAATGATGAGGAAGCCTAGCCCTGCCTATTCATTTGGGTAAGTTCAGATTATTTTATTTTCTGGTAAAATATTGCTGGTAACATAATAATGGTAGAGAGCTGCCTATAGTATTTCTGGAAAATAAAAATAAATAAATGTCACCTGCTTCATGACATGGTGATAATCAGTGAATGTACATATCAAATATTTTCTCAGAAGAGTCTAGAAGTGACAGATCATAAAGACAGTAATTATATTAAAATATTCATATTCAGTTTTATATTTTATGAAAGAAATACAAACATAAATTGATTTCAGTAAGCTCTTTAATATTTTTGGATGGTATTTTAGTCATAGAAAGTATGAAGAATTCTAACAAGTAAATTTTATAAGTGCTATGATATATTTCAACATTTTGCATTGATGGAGATGTATTTCTGTAGTAAGACTTTGGATTTAGCAATGAGCTAATGAGACTTTGAAGCTTCTGTTTCTATAGTTACAGAAATCACTGAGAGTTGAAAGATGCACTTTTCATAATAGAGGAGGCTCTCATGATGTGTCAGAAAACATGAAGTGACCCTCATAATGGCTTGTGCTGTTTATTCTTACATTGCTATGACAACATACCTGGCCAAATAACCTGGGAAGGGAAGGGGTTGTTTTGGCTCACTGTTTCAGAGAGTTCATGGTCTCTTGGCCAAATGTGGTTGAGCACAGTATCATTAAAGTGGAAGAGGATAGAAGATGGCTGTTTGTACTGTGGAGGACAGAGGCATACAGGAAGTAGTGACCAGATCACAGTGTGACCCCCGGGCAAGCCACTCACTGTTTTCACCAGCTAGTCCCCATCTCTTACTTCTTGCCCCCTCCCAGTTAAGACTGCATAGCTCCAGGAAGGACACACATGAACGATCAACCCTGACAGTCGGGAAAGTGGCAGATGTCACAACCCTGTCCTCCTTTTACCCATTGTGTTGATACACTGTTCTACAATTTCTATAGTCTAATATCTGGCTAACAGTAGACTGCCCATACATACATTGTGCCAGTAAATATTTGAGTGTATATATGTTCTAGGAAGACTGGTTTATTACTGGTTTATTAATTGAACAATTTTGTCATTCAAACTATATCTGATTTCAGGTTTGAACGATTAGAAGTCTTGGCTGTGTTTGCTTCTACGGTCTTGGCACAATTGGGAGCCCTCTTTATACTAAAAGAAAGGTACATTTTTGTATGTATTATGATCAGTCTCACCTATGATTCTTAGAAATATGAGAGAATCCAGTGATGGTTTGAATGATATACAAATTATTATGGACATTGTTGGAGCTCTGAGTATAATTTCTTATTTCAGACCCCTTCTCCTCCTTTTCCACTTCTAGTTCTTTCTTTGGTAGTACTAAATTCAGTCATAGGTGAATCTGAATGGTGACACACAGGCTGACATGTGTTTGACTTCCTTTCCAACCATGTGAAGTGGGCGTGGTAGAGGAATGTTGGCATTGCATATTTAGGGTAACCTACCTGTTAGTGTCCTGGCATCATCTCCACTAAACATACTAAGAGATTTTCATGAACTTTAGTGTAGGTTAACTATATATTTATAATGTATAACCATATATTTAATATGGATTTTTAGGTTTATAATTTATAGAACTTATTTGATATAGTTTTCTTTCTTTTAGTGCAGAACGCTTTTTGGATCAGCCTGAGATACACACGTAAGATGGGTTTTTTATTTAT